TCTCACAGGTCTGCATATCCCCTCGTTCTCCAGGAACCTAGTTGGTGTCGGCTGCCTCCAGGACCTTGGCGTCACCACTACGTTCCCTGGTCACGAGCGGTATGCTGTCTGTACCGAGGCCGCCACTGGTGCCCCCCTTACCACTTTCCCCCGGGACCCGGTGTCCGGCCTGTTCACACTTGACACCGCGCCGTCCCCGGCTGGGTCTTCCCCCCCGGTAGCTGCGTCCACCCAGGTTGCAGCCGCGTGCTCCTGTCGGTCCCTCACTCACCCGACTCTCCTTTGGCACCACCGCCTTGGTCACCCTACACTCCCACGTCTGCGTCACATGTCCCAGCACGGTCTCGTCCTTGGTCTCCCCGGTTCGTTCCCCGAGTTTCCCTCCTCCCCCGCCCCACCGTGCACGCCTTGTATCGAGGGCCGGCTTCGCCGTGCCCCTCACTCCTCCTCTTTTCCCCCTACCACCGCACCACTGCAGACTCTGCACATGGACGTCTGGGGCCCAGCCCTGGTCCATGGGCCGCGTCGCGAGCGCTTCTTCCTAGTGCTTGTCGACGACTTCACGCGCTACACCACCGTCTTCCCCCTGGAGCGGAAGGCCAACGTGCCTGACGTTCTCATCCCCTGGCTTGTCTCTGCTCGTGTCCACCGCGGTCTCCCTGCCTTGCGCCTTCACTCCGACCGGGGTGGCGAGTTTGCCTCAGGTGTCCTTGGTCGCTTCTGTCGTGCGGAGGGCATCACCCAGACGTTTACCCTGCCGGACTCCCCGCAGCAGAATGGGGTCGCTGAGCGACGCATCGGTTTGGTCATGGAGGTGGCTCGCACCTCCATGATCCACGCCGGTGCACCCCATTTTCTGTGGCCGTTCGCCGTGCGCTACGCCGCTCACCAGCTTAACCTGTGGCCGCACCCCCAGCGGCCGCAGGTTTCGCCGACCCTTCTGTGGACCGGGTCCCCTGGTGACGCGTCTGCGTTCCGCGTCTGGGGCTGCCTTGCTCACGTTCGTGCCTCTGGCACGGACAAGCTCACTGCCCGCACCCTCCCCTGCGTCTTCCTCGGTTTCCCCCTTGACGCGTCCGACTGGCACTTCTACCACCCGCCGTCTCACCGCTTCTTTCACTCTCGCGACGTCACCTTTGACGAGTCCGTCTCCTTCTACCGCCGCTTTCCCCACCGTGGTCCCCCGGTTACTCCCCCCCTTTTCCTGGTTCCTCCCTCCCTGGTGGTCCCTGCCCCTCCCCCCCCCCGCCCCCCCGTCCGGCCCCCTCTGGTGTGTCTCACGTCACCCCCCTCCCGTCGGTCGTCCCGGTCGACGAGTCTTCTGACTCTGGTAGTCCTCCGGCGCAGTCCTCGCCGTCTGTCCCTCCCCCGGTGTCTCCTCCTCCACCGCCTCCGCAGCCGCCGTCGCCGCAGCTGCTGCAGCCGTCGTCTCCACCGCCGCCGCCGTTGCAGCCGTCGTCTCCGCCGCCACCGCCGTCGCAGCCGTCGCTGCAGCCGCCGCCGCCGCCGCCGCTGTCGTCGCTGCCGCCGTTTGTGGACTCTGGGGGTGTCCCTTCTGGGGGTGCAGGTGTGGAGGGTTCGGGAGGTAGCCGTCGCGCAGCTTGTGGCCCTGGTGTTGGTGTTGTGTCGCCGCAGCAGCAGTCCCCGCCTGTGTCCGCCCTCCGTCTGCTCGGCCTTCCGTCTCCTGACCCTGCGCCTGTTCCTCTCCTGCCGTCTCCCCCTCTTCCCGTCTACGGCCCCGTGTTCCCTCTGCCGGACTCGTCCCCGGCTCGTCTTCCCCCTCGTTCCCCTCCTGTGTCCCCTCCTCTGTCTCCTGACCCGACGCCGCCCTCACACGTCTGGTCTCGCCGCCCCTCTCGTGCTCGTCCTGTCTCCCCTGTCCCGCGCTCTCACCCTATGTTGCTCCGTTCCCACGCGTCTCGACCTCCCCTCCTCCCGTCTCCTCCTCCGTCTTCTCTTGTCGTTGCGTCTCCTCCTCTGTCCGACTCCTTTCGTGCCGCTCGTCCTCTTGTTCCTCGGGTCCTTGCCTCTCTCGTTACAGACCCGTCTGTTCCAGTGTCGAGTCTTGACGCCCTTGTCGCTGCGGTCGCTGACTTCGCCTCTACCCGCCGCCTTGACTACGCCACCGCTCTGGTCTCTCACCCTGCCTGTCCTCCGTCTGTCGGGGGTGCTCCTGCCCTCGGCAGTGACGTCCTGGAGGACCGCCAGTTTGAGCTTGCTTTCCTGTCCGAGGCTGCTCCCCATCTCTGTTCCATGCTGCTAGTCCCTGAGGGTGACCCAGACGCTTTCGACATCCCGACCCCTCGTACTTACGCTGAGGCGGTTTCGGGACCCTGGGCCTCTCAGTGGATAGCTGCCATGGAGCAGGAGATGGCATCTTGGAGATCCACCGGCACCTTCGTCGACGCAGTTCCCCCACCTGGGGTGAACGTGGTCGATGGCCGTTGGCTCTTCAAGGTGAAGCGCCCTCCTGGAGAGCCGCCTGTGTTCAAGGCGCGCTACGTGGCTAGAGGCTTCAGTCAGCGCGAGGGGGTGGACTTCTTTCAGACTTTCGCTCCTACCCCGAAGATGACTACTCTTCGGGTGCTGCTACACGTAGCGGCTCAGCGTGACTACGAGCTTCACTCCCTCGACTTCTCCACTGCCTTTCTTCAGGGCAGCCTTCACGAGCAGGTCTACCTGCGTCGCCCTCAGGGCTTTACTGGCACCTTCCCCCCTGGGACCCAGTGGCTTCTGCGGCGGCCAGTCTACGGCCTGCGCCAGGCGCCTCGTGAGTGGCACGACACTTTGCGTGCTACCCTTGCTGACCTGCAGTTCTTTCCGTCCTCTGCAGACCCCTCGCTCTTCGTTCGTGCTGGCTCGACTCCGTTCTACATCCTCGTCTACGTAGACGACCTGGTCTTTGCCACTGCTGACAGGGACGCACTGGCCTCCGTGAAGGCAGAGCTGCTGAAGAGACACACCAGCACTGACCTTGGAGAGCTGCGCCGTTACCTTGGCTTGCAGATCTCCAGGGACAGAGCCGCGCGCACCATCACCCTGACTCAGTCACACTTGGTGCGCCAGGTCCTTCAGAGGTTCGGCCTTCAGTTCTCCTCCGCACAGCCCACCCCTCTTCCTCTGGACCACAGACTCTCCGCTCCAGTTCCTGAGGAGTCGGTAGATCCCAGTGGTCCTTACGCTGAGCTAGTGGGTTGCCTCATGTACCTGATGACTTGCACTCGCCCAGATCTCGCATACCCTCTCAGCATCCTGGCTCGTTTCGTGGCCACAGGCAGGCACCGACCTCAGCACTGGTCTGCCGCTAAGAGGGTTTTGCGTTATCTTGCAAGTACATCGGGCATGGGGTTAGTGCTAGGCGGACGCAGGCCAGTGGTCCTTACTGGACACACAGACGCTTCTTGGGCAGACGACGCCGAGACGCTCAGGTCTTCCCAGGGCTACTGCTTTAGCCTTGGTTCAGGTGCTGTCTCGTGGAGAGCTACCCGCTCTTCGTCTGTTGCCCAGTCCAGCTGTGAGGCCGAGATCTACGCCGGTGCCATGGCGGCACAGGAGCTCCGCTGGCTGACCTTCTTGCTCACTGACTTAGGTGAGCGGCCTAGCTCTGCCCCGGTCCTGTACGCTGACAACAGGGCCATGATCCTCCTGTGTCAGGAGCCTCGACTCGAGGGCAGAGCGAAGCACATCCAGCTGCGGTACTTCCTCGTGCGTGAGCTACAGCAGCGTCGCCAGGCTCGCGTAGTACACTTAGCCTCCGGTGCCAACACAGCTGATATCTTTACGAAGGCGCTTGCGCCTAAAGATCATCAGCGGCACTGTGTACAGCTTGGTCTGGTTCCTGTAGTCTCTCACTTACTCGGGCCTTGACTCTGTACTGTCCTATATATCTGTGTGTACACTCAGACTGGACTTGTGTCCTCTTACAGTGGTTGGACTAGTAGTGCCGCCCTGTACTAGTTCTTGCCTTGCCTGTACTCCTTCTGACTGGTCTTTTAGACCCTTGTCTCAGAGGCTGGACTAGTAGTGCCACCCTGAGCTGCTTGTCTAGAACATTCCCCTATGCAGTCCAGGGGGTGTGTCAAACATGTTTAGTTATCATGCTTGTATAGACTGTATAGGGTCATCTTCTAGAGAGTACAACAGTTAGGTATATGTTTGTGTACTCTCTCTCTGTATTCATCAATTTCACTGTTTGATAGCCTCTTCCTAGCTAGCTCATTTTAACATGGTTTCAGAGCAGGAGGTTCGCCCTGCTGGGCCGCCTCCTCATGCTTCCACCGCGTACTCCTTCCCCTCTTGTTACTTCCGTGCCGCCGTGGCGGCCGTATCGTGCTGCCATAGCGGCTTCGTCGTGCTGCTATGGCAGCCTCGACGTGCTGCCATAGCTTCGACGCCACATCGTGGCGGCTTCGTTGTGTCGCCGTGTCGACGTCGTCACGTCAGTGCACGGGCGGCAGTGGGCCGCGCACTGGTTTAGGCGCCAGGCAGCAAGCCCCCACTCGAGCTCGCCGCGCCTCCCCAGCTCGTCTTGTCGGACCCAGCTCGCCGCGTCGGTCCCAGCTCGCTGCGTCGGACCCAGCTTGCCGCGTCGGTCCCAGTTCGCCACGCTAGCCGGCTCCGCCCCGCCACAGCTCAAGGATGCCTAGCGCCTTCCTTCCCTGCAGCCACCTCTGCTGCAGGGTATGGGGGTGCTAGGCTTAGAGGTGTTGCATGTGGGGTGGGCTTGCGACTACCAAGCCTAGGGGGTGTGCTAAATTATATATATTACATATATATAATTGTAAGCTTGGTAGGTGTTACTAAATCCTACTGTAGAGGTTACTACCCCCCTTCTTGTATCTCCTTCTCTTCTATTCCAATCACTCTCTTCTCTCAATATTTCCCTCCTAGCACCTAAAACCTCTCGCCATTCCATGGCGCCTCTTCCTAGCTAGCTCATTTTAACACTTGTAACTTTGCACACCTTGATAGAGAACATACGGCTTTAAAAAAAAAGAGCAATACGGCGTGCCGTTGTGCTTCAACAGCACAAAGCCATAAAACCATATACAAACCATTGGCACAAAACCATTGTTATCATTAACTACCTAAGCTTCATTAGTCACACAATTTGTCTACTTTACATGATTAAACCGGAGGAGCTTGTCCTGGAGGACACACCCACTTAGACCCATTCCACCGGCATGTTTCAGGGGGAGGGGGAGCTGGTGGTCTAGGGGGAGGACTTGGGGGGCTTGGGGGGGAGGGTGGGGGCAGTGGCGGGGGGTGGGGTGGGGGAGAGGGAGGGGGAGGCATCGGTGGGCTTGGAGGGCGAGGGGGAGGGGGAGAAGGGGGAGGGGGAGAAGGGGGAGGAGGAGTTGGTGGTGGAGGGCTAGGAGGGATAGAGGGGGGGGGATGAGGAGGTGGGGGCTTGGGGGGGAGGGCTGGGGGGGTGGGGAGGTGGGGAACTTGGGGGCGGAGAGCTGGGAGGGGGAGGACTATGCGGACTGGGAGGAGGTGGGCTTGGGGGAGGTGGGCTCGGGGGAGGGGGGCTTGTGCTAGAAGGGCTTGAGAGTATGGAGCCTGAGATAGGGGGGGGTAGAGCTGTGCCAGGGAAGGGTGGTGAAGGTGGAGAGGGAGATAAGGAGCTGGAGACAGGAGGGGGCTGCTGAGTCGACTCAAACGAGCCGGAGAGACGAGGAGGGGAGAGCGAGGATATGTCGGGCATTGGTGGCAGCGGTGGTGGTGGTTGGCTGGCTGAGGGAAGGCTGGGAGGAGGAGGGGATGGGAGTGAGGTGGAATCAGGTGAAGGTGTTGCTGGTGAAGGTGTTGCTGGTGGAGGTGGTAGGTATGCGGTGGGGGGTGGGGATGGTGATGCGTCATTGGTAGGGGGAGGGGGGGATTGTGACGAGTCTGTGGTAGGGGGAGGGGGGGATTGTGACGAGTCAGTGGCAGGGGGAGGGGGGGACTGTAACGAGTCTGTGGTAGGGGGAGGGGGGGATTGTGACGAGTCAGTGGCAGGGGGAGGGGGGGATTGTGACGAGTCTGTGGTAGGGGGAGGGGGGGATTGTGACGAGTCTGTGGTAGGGGGAGGGGGGGATTGTGACGAGTCAGTGGCAGGGGGAGGGGGGGATTGTGACGAGTCTGTGGTAGGGGGAGGGGGGGATTGTGACAAGTCAGTGGTAAGGGGAGGAGAATATTGCACATTAAAAGTTGATGCTTCTGAATGCGGTGGTGGTGGCGATGGTGGTGGTGGTGATAGTGATGACGATGGTGATAAAAATGATGGTGATGGTAATGGTGGTGATGGTGATAGTAACGATGGTGATGGTGGTGGGGATAGTGATGAAGTTAGGAACGAGTCAGCATCAGGAGGGGATGGGGATGGTATCGAGCCAGTCAGTGATGGAGGCGGTGAGGGAGCCGGGGAAGCAAGAGCAGGAGGAGGGGGTTGGAGCTGCTGGGAACCGGAGGTGGATGGGGGTGGGTTGGGCTGCTCTTGACTCTCAATTTGCAGGGAAGGAGGAGGTGAGGAGGGGAGGAGAGGAGGAGGTGAGGAGGAGAGGGAAGGATATGGAGGAGACGGCTGGGAGGAGGAGGGTGTTGAGGGAGGAGGCGAGTGAGGGAGGGGAGGAGGAGGGCTGCCTGGTGTGTCTAGGGGAGATGCAAGGGGAGGAGGATGGGGAGGGGAGGGTTGGGAGGCGGACGGTGATGAGGGAGGAGGCGAGTGAGGGAGGGGAGGAGGAGGGCTGTCTGGTGTGTCTAGGGGAGATGCAAGGGGAGGAGGATGGGGAGGGGAGGGTTGGGAGGCGGACGGTGATGAGGGAGGAGGGGAGTGAGGGAGGGGAGGAGAGGGAAGGAGAGGGGGAGGGAGGAAAGGGGGAGGAGAAGATTGTGAGGGAGGTGAGAGTGAGGGAGGTGGAGGAGTGATAGGCACGGCTTGGGGAGGAGGTGACTTGCGAGGAGGAGGAGAAGAAGAGGGAGGAGGAGTAGGTTTTGCTGCTAGGAACCGAAGGTTGCAGTGGGAGGGGTGACGAGCAGCAAGTGAAGTAGGATGGTGGAAAAAGGGAGGGGGAGAGAAACACGGAGGGGGGCGAAAGTGAAGGGCGGGAGAGGGGGAGGAGAGAGTGAGCACAGTGGAAGCTGAGAGAAACATCATGCCTCGAGAGACACTAAGCTTGTGAAGGCATACAGCTATAGAAGCACATATGGAAGAAATATTATTGGCCGGTTGACATCACACTACCAACGAACCCGTGGCAAGAGAACGACGGACGAGGAAAGTTGGAAGACGGAAGACAGAAGATGGATGACAGGAGATGGACGACAGGAGATGGACGACAGGAGATGGACGACAGGAGATGGACGACAGGAGATGGACGACAGGAGATGGACGACAGGAGATGGACGACGATGGACGGCAGCACGCACACTCAGAGGTGACTTTTGAGGTGACTTTTGAGTCGACTCAAAAGTCACATGGAAGACGATGGATGGCAGCACGCACACTCATAAGCAGGACAGGGCAGACACGAGAGTCTAATGTTTGCGGCACCTGGAAGGAACAAAGGCACGCACGTACCTAGAGCAGTGCACGAGAGTCCATTTGACGAAGGAATAGCCAAGCCTGGCACACAGCCACATGAGAAGCTGACCAGCCGACCACTCTGCTTCCCAGGGGCCTTATTAGCAGCACCCCCTTTATTGACACTTCCTTTATTCGAAGGTGGTGCTGCTGCAGCCGGGATGCTCGCTAGACACGTGCCCAGGCCCCCACATTGGGAGTTGGCTCCTGGTATTAGGGGGACAGCTGTCATGATCTGGTTGGTCGAGCAGAAGAGCAGGCACGTGGCAGGGTCCCGTTGGGTCTCGATTTGGAGCAACCTGATTGGTCCAGCTGGCGTGGCTGCTGCACTGGCTGCAGAGCCAAGAGCAGCTGCAAGACCACGGCCTCTCTTCCTGCCTCTTCGGTGGTGTCTTGTTTGCCTCGTCTTGCTGTCCACACTCCCACTGCTCCTCCTCTTGTTCTCAAGTGCTCCGTGTCTCCATAAAGGGCTCCAGCTCTTGTTGTCTATCTCTAAGCCCACTGCAACACGCCCCCCTGTCGGATCGAACGGTCGGGATTTATGGAGTTTGGATCGAGCGTCGCGAAGGACGGATGCTCGATTGCTTGAATAGGCCGATGCGTGCATTGGTTCTACTTGCCCATATTCTGCTTGTGTGGTTTCAAGAACCAGGCGGTTACTGGACCTTAGACTGGACCCCTTACCAGTCCTCTTTCCACTCCTAGCGCCTCTCTCTTCCTTCACCATATATTCTTGCTCCTCCTCTTCTTTCTCCTCTTCTTTCTCCTCTCCCTCACCCTCAAGCCACATTGGCGCCTCACTCTTTCCCTCCTTTCCGCCATTCCCCCACCACTGCCACCACTGCTGCTGCGCTGCCTCCTGCTGAACTAGCACCTGCTGCATTCCGTATGCCCTGGTCCCACTTGCCGCTTTTGTCTGCTTCCCAGAGGACAAAACCCACGGGGAGGTGCGCAGGGGCATGACCGGGTCGGTGGTGGTGGCAGGACAGCTCATGCTGACCTGTGCTGAGCTGGCGTACGCCAGGCAGTTGCCAGCAACGCTGAAGGAGGAAGGATCCGGGAAAGAGGACTTGCAAACGGTGGTAGCAGCAGCACTGCTGCCGGTGCTGCCAATAGTGCCACCGCCACTTGGCTTGACGCCACTGCTAATAGCGCCACTCCCACCGCTCCCACTGCTGCTGCTGCCGCCGCCGCTGCTGCTGCTGCCGCTGCCAGTGTTACCAGTGGCGGTGGGGGCTGCTACAGTGACGTCAGCAGGGCCGTAGAAGTAGTTATAAGAGACGTCATAGAGCACGGAAGAGTCGAGGGAGGGGATGGGAGGGAGGCGGCCAGTGAAGAAGTTGCTTGACAGGTTGCTGGTTGGGGAGAGGGGGAAGGGAGAGGGAGGGACGAAAGGGGAGGGGCCGTATGAGGAGGTATAAAAGACATCATAGAGCACGGTAGACTCGGGCGAGGGGATGGGCGGGAGGCGGCCAGTGAGGAAGTTGCTTGACAGGTTGCTGGTTGGGGAGAGGGGGAAGGGAGAGGGAGGGACGAAAGGGGAGGGGCCGTATGAGGAGGTATAAAAGACATCATAGAGCATGGTAGACTCGGGCGAGGGATGGGCGGGAGGCGGCCAGTGAGGAAGTTGCTTGACAGGTTGCTGGTTGGGGAGAGGGGGAAGGGAGAGGGAGGGACGAAAGGGGAGGGGCCGTATGAGGAGGTATAAAAGACATCATAGAGCACGGTAGACTCGGGCGAGGGGATGGGCGGGAGGCGGCCAGTGAGGAAGTTGCTTGACAGGTTGCTGGTTGGGGAGAGGGGGAAGGGAGAGGGAGGGACGAAAGGGGAGGGGCCGTATGAGGAGGTATAAAAGACATCATAGAGCACGGTAGACTCGGGCGAGGGGATGGGCGGGAGGCGGCCAGTGAGGAAGTTGCTTGACAGGTTGCTGGTTGGGGAGAGGGGGAAGGGAGAGGGAGGGACGAAAGGGGAGGGGCCGTATGAGGAGGTATAAAAGACATCATAGAGCACGGTAGACTCGGGCGAGGGGATGGGCGGGAGGCGGCCAGTGAGGAAGTTGCTTGACAGGTTGCTGGTTGGGGAGAGGGGGAAGGGAGAGGGAGGGACGAAAGGGGAGGGGCCGTATGAGGAGGTATAAAAGACATCATAGAGCACGGTAGACTCGGGCGAGGGGATGGGCGGGAGGCGGCCAGTGAAGAAGTTGCTTGACAGGTTGCTGGTTGGGGAGAGGGGGAAGGGAGAGGGAGGGACGAAAGGGGAGGGGCCGTATGAGGAGGTATAAAAGACATCATAGAGCACGGTAGACTCGGGCGAGGGGATGGGCGGGAGGCGGCCAGTGAAGAAGTTGCTGTGGGAGGGATGGGAGGGGGGGGCGAGGTTTCTGGTAGGGAGAGGGAGTGGGGGAGAGGGAAATGAAGAGGGAGGAAAAGGAGGGGGAAGGAAAAGAGGGGGAGTCCAGAAAGGTAGTTATGAAGGGAACGTAGAGACCAATGGAGCCTAGGCAAGGAATGGGAGGGAGGAGATGGGAGGGAGGGGATGGTGGGAAATAGTTTTATTCGATCTGCAGCAAAGCCTCCTAAGGGTAGATCTAGGTCTAGAACTAAGATTAACGGCGAGAAAGGTAAGAGGAAATTTTCTTAGTCAGAACGCCAGACACAATAGGCCCGGATGTTGCGTGCGAACGCGTTTCGGCCAGCAATAGGCCTTCATCAGCGCACTAAGAGTCAAACAGACTGACTACGATCTATTTCTACTCCGTTCCTCGCTTGTGTAGGCTCTAAGAAGTTGAGCCATCACAATCTCGACATCGCGGCTCCAGTGGAGCGCTTTGCCAGCTACCAGTTCTAGCTGTCAGGTTTGGCAAGTAAACATGCAGAGAGGACATTCCAGGAGGTTCGTCCCCAATATTGGGAGGCAACCAGCTGGTTACAATTTCCTTTCTACACTAATTTCGCTCATACTAATCTATTACAAATCTTCCTTGGTAATTTCCAAGCTGTAACAAACCAAGGATAACGAAGTCCTAGATTTTGCACGGTGTTTTTGAAAGGGTGCTTACAGCTGCTAACAGATCCTACCCGAAATCTTCTTCCTGTAAGACGAGGTGCAGAAAGGGTGCTTTGCTTACAGCGCAGCCAGATTGGGGAGTGCGGTGATGACGTCTGCAGGCACCCCACTAAGTGCGTTGGCACTGAGATCCCTGGGAGGAGTAGTGGGAAGCAAAAGGGATGGGGGAAGGGGAGGAGGGAGGGAGAGCTTCTGTGCCTTTTGACGTCTGCAGGCACCCCACTAAACGTGTTGGAGCTTAGATCGCTGAGAGGAAGAGGTGGAAGCCGGGAGCGGGAGCAGAGGGATAGGGAAGGAGAGGGGGTTAGAGTGACTAGTGAGGATAGTGGTTTGAAGTAACATGGATAGTGAGTGACTAGTGCAAGCTTGCAAAGTGACTAGTAAGGCAAATGGTTTGGTTGGGGTAACATCAATTGTGAGTGAGATTATACAAAGTGGGTAGAGGCTAGTGGTCTGCGTAACAAAAAATCGCGAGTAAAAATGCATTGAGGTAGCATGATAGCTTACAGAGTGACTAGTGAGGTGCAGAGGGCGAGGGAGGAGGGGATCTGGCCACTCAAGCTGTTGGTGGACAGGTTGCTGGTTGGGGAGGGGTGAGAGAAGGGGAGTAAGTGAACACCACTGGGGTGCCATGGTCTTTTGAGCGGACTTCTGAGTCGAACGAGAGGGGATCTGGCCACTCAAGCTGTTGGTGGATAAGCTGCTGGTTGGGGGAGGGGTGAGAGAAGGGGACGGGGGTGAGAGAAGGGGAAGGGGAATGAATACGTGTGTAATAATAAGTCGATTTTTTAGTCGACTAAAAAATCGACTTATTACACACGAGAAGGGGAAGGGGAATGAATGTCTCCCGTGTACTGAACGCGAAGTGGATAATGAAAGGCAGAAAAAGAGATGAAGGCAACGTGAGGAGAGGAGAAACTGACTACTCAATGCTAGCTACTGCTCAAGAGAGAGGAGAGATGGGGGAAGGTGAAGGGGAGTGGAGTGGGAAAAAGGGGGGGTTGGTGTGAGAGAAGTTGAGGGGGGTTTGCAGGGGTCACGTGTGTGAGGTAGGGAGTGAGGAAGGGAGGGAGTGAGGAAGGGAGGGCGGGAGAAAGGGAGGGGGTGAGGAAGGGAGGGCGGGAGGAAGGGAGGGAGTGAGGAAGGGAGGGCGGGAGGAAGGAAGGGAGTGAGGAAGGGAGGGCGGGAGGAAGGGAGGGAGCGAGGAAGGGAGGGCGGGAGGAAGGGAGGGAGTGAGGAAGGGAGGGAATGATAAGAGGAGGAAGTGAGCATGTTGCCTTACAGCGTGTTTAGAGCGAGCATTTCTTGGGTGCAGAAGGGAGGTAAGGAGCCGGAAAGACCGTTGGAAGAGATGTCTCTGATGGGGATGACGAGGGAACGAGAGGGGCATGAGGGGAGGAGAGGGGCATGAGGGGACGAGAGGGGCATGAGGAAACACCTCCCACCTCCTTTAGGTAAAATCCTAACTCAGGGGAGGTGGGCAGGGTCCCCTGGGCTGGGACTATGCTAGCCATTCCCAATTCCTAACCGGTTGCATGGCGCCAGGATAGATTATTGTGGGAGGAGAGTCCCCCGGAGGTCACTCACATCACGGCTAGGTTAGTGAGGGCGGAGAGGGAAGGAGGGAGGGCGCCTGAAAGACTGTTGCGGGCGAGCTGGCTGGTGGGAGACGCAGGGGGGAGGAGAGGGGAATAGGGGACAGGGGAGCTGAGCAGGGGGGGTCAAGAGAGGACGGAGAGGGGTGTTTAGGGGAGAGGGAAGGAGGGAGGGCGCCTGAGAATCTATTGTGGGCGAGCTGGCTCGTTGGGCACAGGGGGAAGGAGAGGAGAACAGGGGACAGGGGAGGGGGGGGGGGGGGGGGGTGGGGTGGGGTGGGAAGGGGAGTACAGCACCTTCCGGGTAGTACAGGAGTGAAGGATTGGCAAGGGACAATTGAGCGAGCAAGGTAGTTATAAGGATAATTCACTGGTCAAGAAGGGTTGGGAGAACGGAAGAAGGGAAGGAAGAACGGAGCATAGCAACACCTACTCACGCTGTAACACGGTAACACGGGAAGATTCTATTTATGAGGCGCCTAAAAAATAGACTCCTCACGCTGTAACACGGTAACACGTGAAGCCCGCAGTGCGGTAACACGTACAGCACTTCGAGGCTTGATAGAGCTCCAAGGTTGGGAAGGGGGCCAGAGAGAGAGTTGTAACTTAGAGAGCTGAGTGGGGGGAGGGATGGGAGAAGGGTCGACATGGTGGTGACGAGGTGGCTTTTTGAGTTGACTCAAAAGTCACCAAGGTTGGGGAGCAGACCAGAGAGAGGAGTTGTGGCTTAGAGAGCTGAGTGGGGAGGGTGGTGAGAGAAGGTAGGAGGGACGGGACGGGACTTAGCCAGAAGGGAGGAGGGAAGTGGGGGAGGGGAGGGAATAGTGGAGGAGAAGCAAGGTGCTGCTTCAAAGCCTTGATAGCGGTGGTGCTCACACGTGGTGCTGCTCACACATGGTGCTGCTCACACGTGGTGCTGCTCACACATGGTGCTGCTCACACATTGAGCGACACGAGGGATGATATGGCTTCTGAGGTGGTGTTAACTCACACATAATTGAGCGACACGAGGGATGATATGGCGGCAGGGAGGGCACCAGTGAGCTTGTTGTTATCAAGAAAGCTGCAGAAAAAGGGGGAAGGGGGGGGGAGGGAGAAGGGGAGAGAGATAAATATAGGTTTGGATTGAGGGTCTGGCGTGGGAAGGAGAAGGAATGCCAAGGGGATGAGGGATTGAACATAGGAAAGGGTCTCACAGCTATTTGAAAAGCATGATGTGCGTGGTTAGCAAGTGCTTAGCAAGTGGTAGTGCTTGCATTCTGAAGGCAGTGCGTGCTTGTGTAACGTCGTAGTAGTGATGCGCATGTAGCTTCTCTCGCTTAGAGATATCACATTTGGTTTAGCTGGCCAATAGTAGCAGATGGGTTGCGAGCTGTCTTGCTGGCGACGCCACACACTAGTACCATGCACTACCTTGCACTACCGCTTACAGGTTTCGCAGTCGGGTTAGCTTGCCAATAGTGGCTGGAATAGGGCCTGTGAGTCGATTGCTGTTGAGATAGCTGCAGCAGGTGAATGAAGGAAGCGTGAGTGGGGAGGGTGGAGTGGGGAGTGGGGAGTGGGGAGTGGAGAGAGAGGGAGGCAGAAGAGAGTAGGTAGAGATGGTGGGGGGGCCAACGTGGGAGGGGGAGCTGGAGGGGGGCAAGTGGGAGGAAGGAAAGAAAGTGGAGGGAGAGAAGGGGCTATCATATAGGCACGCAAGCTAGCACTTTTGAGAGTGCCTCCAATCTCAGGGGGGATGGCGCCTTTTGAGTCGACTACAAAGAAGCCGTCCACGAGGTGTGTTTCGAGATGACTGAGACCAGAACTTACAGCCATGCTAATCTTGGATAGCGCTTCGACCTCAGAGAGGGAATGGCACCTTTTTAGGGGACTACAATCATGGACAACAACATGTGATTTGAGTGGATTGAGACCAGAACTTACAGCCACGCCAGCTTGGATAGTGCTCCGACCTCAGAGGGATGGGCCCAGTGAGTGCGTTGCTGCGGATGTCACTGGGAGGAAGACGGGGAATGGGGAAAAGAGGGAGAAGGAAGGGGGATGGGGAAAAGTGGGAGAAGGAAGGGGGATGGGGAAAAGAGGGAGAAGGAAGGGGGATGGGGAGAAGGGGGAGAACGGAAGGGGGATGGGGAGAAGGGGGAGAAGGAAGAAGGATGGGGAGAAGGGGGAGAACGGAAGGGGGATGGGAATGGGAAGATGGGAAAAGGGAAAGGGGAAGGAGGAGAAGAGGGAGTTGGGAAAGGGGATTTATGATGAGTGAAGGGAGGGAGAGGATGGCTTGGGTGAGTGTGTCGCTGCGGATGCCTTTGGGAGGAAGGAAATAGGAAGGGGCAAAATGAGGAGGGAAGAAGTGGGGGGGGGAGAGGAGAAGATGGGTGGAGTAATGGTGGGTTCCCTCTCCCACCACCCATGCAAGTGAGGAGACCGGTCACTCACATGGTCTGCAGTGGTTGAGGTGACCATCACTTACAGGGTCTGCAGAGCTTGCAATCTCAAAAGCGAAGGGGGAATGGGTCCAGTCAAATTGTTGTTCCTTAAAGACCTGGGATTGTAACGGGGGAGGGGGAGGGGGGGGGAGAATGAAAGAGGATTTGTGTTTTTTTAGGCGACGCAAAAACGGGATGGCGTCAGGGAGACGTGTAAGAGAGATGGGAAGAGAGAGGGGAATAGAGAGGTGTACTGAGAGGGGTAAGAGGAGTATTTGAGAGGGGAGCAGGTGACCATACAGGTATGTGAGAGCAGTGAGAGTTGATATCTGCGGTGGGATGGCCTCGGACAGTAGGTTGGTGTCCATGCGCCTGCAATAGGAAGGAGAGAGAGGAGAGAGGAGAAGAGAAGAACTGGCGGGTGGGTGAGTGTGTGTTTGCACAGGGGTCCGGACAATGGGCTCGAGTCCATGGGCAGGCAGAGAGAATATGTAAGCAGTGGAGTTGGGGGTTGGGGAATTGGGGGTGGTTGGGGGTGGTTGGGGTGGTTGGGGGTGGTTGGGGGTGGTTGGGGGTGGTTGGGGGTGGTTGGAAGGGAAGCAGTGGAGTTGGGGAGTTGGGAGGGCATGGGAGGGCACCTAGCATGGACCTCAACCTGGAGTTGGGGAGTTGGGAGGGCATGGGAGGAGGGCACCTAGCATGGACCTCAACCTGGAGTTGGGAGTTGGGAGGGCATGGGAGGGCACCTAGCATGGACCTCAACCTGGAGTTGGGGAGTTGGGAGGGCATGGGAGGGCACCTAGCATGGACCTCAACCTGGAGTTGGGGAGTTGGGAGGGCATGGGAGGGCACCTAGCATGGACCTCAACAAGGGCATGGGAGGGGAATTGGGGGTGGTTGGAAGGGAAGCAGTGGAGAAAAGAAGGGAAAAAAGGAAAGGGGAGGATCTAGGAAAAGAGTGAAGGCCATATGAGGGAGTACATTTTAGGGTGAGTGTGCTGGTTACACGGATGCTGGTTACACGGGTGCTGGTTACACGGGTTCTGGTTACATGGGTGCTGGTTACATGGGTTCTGGTTGCATGGGGTGCTGGTTACACACGTGGAGGGAGGGTATGGAGGCGAGTACGAGTTCCATACAGGAAGGTTAAGGCAGTGTGTGTAAGAACTCCCAGGAGTTCTCCCAGGAGTCTCCCGGGAGTTCTCCAGGAGTTCTCCCAGGAGTTCTCCCAGGAGTTCTATCCCAGCAACCCACATACAGGAATGTAAGAGCAGTAAGTTTGGATATGCCCACAGGAATGGGGCCAGTGAGACGATTCTGAGCCATGTTGCTGTTTTGAGGGAAGGGGAGAGGGGAGAGTAGGGGTTTGCAGGGAAGAGAAGGGGTTTGAAGGGCATAGAGAGAAGGTGAGTGCAGTAAGTCGGGAGATGCGCAGAGGAATTGGGCCAGTGAGGCGATTCTGAGGCAATGTTGCTGTTTTGGGGGGGGGGAGGAGGTTTGGTGAGGACAGAAAAGAGAGTGCTTGCTGCTTACCACGGAATAGGGAGGGGGGGACGGGAGAACTCAGGGATTAAGAACGCCGGGAAAGAGTTTCGAATCGAATCAAAATTCAAAAGACGGTATTGGGGGTCGCAAGCAGGAAGAGAATCGAGTTTGCAGGAGTGAGAGTGAGTGTGTTTGGGTACACATTGAGTCCGCTCGGGACTCACATCTGCTGCAGCGCGGTGAGTGTGGCGATGACTGATGGGAAATATTTGCAAGTTGACTCAGGTGAGTGCGGTGATTGCTGGGTGTGAGTGAGGATAGGATGGGGACTCACATCACATCTGCTGCAGGGCAGTGAGTGTGTTAGGGTACACATGGAGTTTGTTTGGACTCACATCTGCTGCAGGGCAGTGAGTGTGGTGATGACTGATGGGAAAGGGCCGGACATAGCGTTGCTGCTCAGGTGACTGCAGTGCAAGGGGGATGGAGAGGCGTGGTGGAAGAGAAGTAGAGGAAGCAGTTAAGAGAGGGCTGAGGCGACGCTTTGCATTGAATCCAAAGCATGGCTGATGGGAAAGGGCCGGACATAGCCTTGCTGCTCAGGTGACTGCAAAGGGGAGAGATATAGTACAGTACAGGCATGGTGGAAGTGAGAGATGGAAGAGGAGAGCAACATCTCTTGAGTACATTTTTGAGGCGCCTCAAAAATGAACTGAATTCGATAGGATGCACGAGCATGCGGAGCACACGCACAGAGTCTATTTTTGAGGCGCCTATTTTTGTGGCGCCTATTTTTGAGGTGCCTCAAAAATAGACTCCTCACGATAGGATGCACGAGCGTGAGGAGCACACTCACAGAGACAGATGAGACTGATATTCACAGGCGGAGGGGCACTCACAGGCGGAGGGGCACTCACAGGCAGAGGGGCACTCACAAGCGGAGGGGCACTCACAGGCGGAGGGGGAGGAGCTGTCAACCCTCTACTCCTAGCGAAGTGGTGAACACCACTGTGTGAAACTCCCCACTCTTTGTTCACACAGTGGTGTTCACTCGGACTCACAGGCGGAGGAGGACTGAGCTGAGGCGCGAGAGAGTGGAGGGCAGCGTGGTGACTCGATTGCCGGCTGACCTGAATTGGGGGAGGGTGAGAGGGTAAGGGAAAGAAATGGTGGGAGGGTGAGAGGGTGAGGGAAAGAAACGGTGGGAGGGTGAGAGGGTGAGGGAAAGAAATGGTGGGAGGGTGAGGGAAGGAGATAGAGGGTGGAGGGCAGCGAGGTGACCCGATTGCTGGCTGACCTGAGAGGGGAAGAAGGAGGGGAGGAGAGGGGGAGAGGGGGAGAGGGGGAGAGGGGGAGAGGCACGCATTGGGGAATGGGAGCAGTCAGAGGGTAGAGGGTAGAGTGGTGACTGAATTGCTACCTGAGCTAAATGGAATAGGATTGAGAGGGCGGGGAGAGGGCGGGGAGAGGGCGGGGAGAGGGCGGGGAGAGGTCGGGGAGAGGTCGGGGAAGGGGCGGGGAGATGGCGGGGAGAGGGGTACACCAGCAGCGGAATATGAGGGGAACTCACAGGAGAGCGAGGGAGGGGAGGTTGCCAATAGCATCGGGGAAGCGGCCCCACCACTCCGTACAATGTGCTGTGAGGGAGGGAGGGAGGGAGGGCGTAAGGGCCATGCGCAGGAATCGATTCGGTACCTCTCAACAAGAGCATTGGGAAGTGGCCCCACCACTCCGTACAATGTGCTGTGAGGGAGGGAGGGATGAGACAGGGGGAGGGAGATATGGACACGTATGTAGCAAGCGCAGTGCGGCTGTAGCACGCATACAGTGCAGTGAGTGACGGATCCCCTACCGTTGCACACGTTTGAGGCGCCTCAGAACCCAACCCCCCCCACCCCCCCTCCTTCCCCCCCACCAACAACCCTCCCCATTGTAGCAAGCGTACAGCGCAGTGACGGATCCTTTGTCGTTGCACATGACGCCGAACAGCAGCTCGCAGTCCCTCCCATTCCTCAAACCCCATTCCCCCCCCTATAACACCCCTTTACACACTCCTCCTTTCGCCCCAACCCCCGTTGTAACCACAAGCATACAGTGCAGTGACGGATCCCTTGCCATTGCACACGACGCCGAACAGCAGCTCGCAGTCCCTGCCGCTCTTCCAGTACGCCTTGGGGCTCCTGTCCGCCACTGCGAACTGCAGGGCGTCTCGGATTGTGACTAATGCGCGCCCTGCAAGCAATGGGAAGCGGAGAACAGACGGAGGAGCAGTGCAGTCACTCCCTGCCGCTCTTCCAGTGCGCCTTGGGGCTCCTGTCAGCCACTGCAAACTGCAGCGCGTCTCGGATCGTCACTAATGCGCGCCCTGCAGGCACGCATTGGGGGGAGGATGGGAGAATGGGGCAAGCGGGGGTTGCATTGGGGGGAGGATGGAGAAATGGGGCGAATGGGGGGGGGATGGGGAAATGGGGCAAGGGCGGGGCGAAATGGGGGGAGGATGGGGAAATGGGGCAAGGGCGGGGCGAATCGGGGGGGGGATGGGGAAATGAGGCAAGGGCGGGGCGAATGGGGGGGGATGGGGAAATGAGGCAAGGGCGGGGCGAATGGGGGGGGGATGGGGAAATGAGGCAAGGGCGGGGCGAATGGGGGGGGGATGGGGAAATGGGGCAAGAGCGGGGCGAATGGGGGGGGGAGATGGGGAAATGGGGCAAGAGAGGGGCGAATGGGGGGGGGAGATGGGGAAATGGGGCAAGGGCGGGGCGAATGGGGGGGGGGAGATGGGGAAATGGGGCAAGGGCGGGGCGAATGGGGGGGGGGGAGATGGGGAAATGGGGCAAGAGAGGGGCGAATGGGGGGGGGGAGATGGGGAAATGGGGCAAGGGCGGGGCGAATGGGGGGGGGAGATGGGGAAATGGGGCAAGGGCGGGGCGAATGGGGGGGGGGGAGATGGGGAAATGGGGCAAGGGTGGGGCGAATGGGGGGGGGGAGATGGGGAAATGGAGCAAGGGCGGGGCGAATGGGGGGAGGGAGATGGGGAAATGGGGCAAGAGAGGGGTTGCATTGGGGGAAGGATGGCGAAATGGGGCAAGCGGGGGAGCGCCTTGCGAGGAGGATACTGGAGCGAGCGAGATTTGACGGTCAAAGTCAGTCATCGGCAATCAGCGAGCAGCCATCGTCAGTCAACGAGCAGCCAGCTGTAACGTACAATCTGAGTCAGCGACGGGCACTCCTGCGTCCGCGACCGGAGGCCACCATCCGCCCATAACCAGCAGCGCGGAGCACAGGGCGGCGAGCACGCCCGCGCATTGGCGCAAAGATTGCGCCCGCGGCAAATCGCCTCTCGTTGAACTGCGCGCAAGGGGGAATTCGATCGCCATGGGGCGGGACGGGCGTGACTCCACGAAAGCGCCTCTCGAATAATCTACTGCGAAAAATAACCTTCGTTAGAGTACTACTCTATGCTAGTAGCGTGACTGCGGCTCTCGTTATAGTAGCATGACGGCGAAAAAAGCGCCTCATCTCTCCAATAGCGGAGACGAGGTGCTGCCGCCGTGCCCTAAGCGCAAACCTCATAGCCTAGTCTTGAGTCTAGAGTCTAAACGCTTATGCAGGCTGGCGAGAGCTGGGCTGGGGGAGCTGTTTTCTGTAGTGCACTGTAGCTATGAAACACCCCCCCACCGGCTGGGGAGCCGGATCGGGGGATGGGTTGGTAAGACATGCACTACGAGACGAAGGCGTACGAAATCGTATTCTCGAGACGCAGATGTTCGGTCCCAGCCGCACCGCAGGTGTATGGAAAAATAATCAGAGACTTTGCGAAATAACAATATGTTATGTTATGTCAACAAAAGAGCATTCACCCTCCAAAACATTTTGGTACATCAATAAAGTAGACCACATGGCATTCCTACCTCACACATTTTGGACATTTATATTAGTTTTTTTCCCTCTGAGAATCATCATTAGTGACTTTATATGTTAACATTTCTGTTTGTAGATGGATCAAAAGGTACTAGCGTGATCTAAAGGGGCGGGTGGGAATTGGCATAAGTGCACGTAATCAACATGCTTTTCCTGCCAAATTTGTGTGATTTGAGGCTTCCGAATGCGCCCACATAGTGCCAATATCCGTAGATGTGGGGAGTATTGTCCTGTTGATGGAACATGCCCGTTAGACGCGCTTGGTCTTGTAAGCATCTTTGCGAACTCAAGAAATAGCTCAACCCCTTTTGCTCCAATCGTAAGAGACGTGGTCACTTGTAGCTTTCTTGGTTGCTGTGTCCGACCATGAGGCGGGGGAAGGGAAAGGAAGAACACACACAGACACGCCGAGCTGAGTGGTCCTACTGTAACCATCAAAGATGCATTATGGGATGGAAGGAAGAACACTGCAATACAATCACAGTACATGAATTCCGTCCCATTGGTCCACGAGTGCAGTGCAGTTAGTTAGTATAGTTATGCAAGCAGATCAATCAAGTCCTTGAAAGGTCCCCTCGGTCTCCAAAAACGGAGACAAGCTGCTTGCAAAGTCACCCACAGTCGTCCCGCTGCTCATTCTCCCTTCGAAGAACGCAGCATCTTCAGCAGCCTCAGCCGCATCCGCCGCAGCAGTCGATGCACTCTGCTTCTTCTTCCTCTTGGCATGCAGGCTCTCCTCCGATTCCCCTGACACAGATTGAATGTCCTCTCCAACGGTACTTAAAGCCCCTTCAGAGTTTGAGCTGCTCGCTCTCCGAGCAGCTTCGGCGAGATTGACGAAGCTAGCTGATAGGTGCGGCGAGAGGGTCAGCCCTGGTGTGGGAGACACTTGTTGAACCTGGGGTTGGATTTCCCACAAAGGTGTTTGCTCAGGTGTTTGGTCTTGCCCCCCTGCCTGCCCCTGCTGCTGCTGTTGCTGCTGCTGAGATGGGAGGATGAGTTGATGCAACATCAGCAGCTGCTGCTGCATCTGCTGCTGCTGTAGCTGCAGCTGCTGCTGCTGCTGAAACAACAGCTGCTGCAGCTGCTGCTGGTGCTGGTGCTGCAGTTGCAGCTGCTCCTGCTGCAACCTCACCCTGGCTCATCCCGCTCCTGCTGCCGCCGCTGACGCTCTGCTTGCTGCGGAGACGGGGTCTGGGGCCGTGCCTGTTGCACGCCCCTTGCTGTTGTTCCTGCTGTTGCTGCTGCTGCTGCTGAGCTGCTGGCTGCTTTCTCCCCGGACTGCTGAATCGGTGCGGAGAGTGGAGTCGGCTCGTCGGTAGCGGGAAGGGGTTTCGATGGTGATCTCTGTTTCCTCTAGCAGTGCAAGGCACACCTGAAGGGGTGATAAGGAGTAATAGGGAGTGGAAACAGGGGTTCTGAAGCCAGGCCAACAGTAGCAGCAGCTAGGGGTTACGATGGTAGTATCTTTCTCCTCTAGCACCGCAAGGCACACGTGCAGGGGTGATAAGGAGTGGGAAGGAAAGCGTAGTGCAGTCAGGCATCAGGAGTGCAAAAGGGGTAGTTAGCAGGGAAGGGCCTCAATAATGATCTCTGTCTCCTATAGCAGCGCAAGGCACACGTGCAGGATAATTAGTGAAAACAGAGGTACTGACGTAACGTCAACAGTAGGAACAATAGGTGATTGTGATTGTGGTTTCGAAGGTGATTGTGATTGTGGTTTGATGTGATTGTGGTTTCGAAGGTGATTGTGATTGTGGTTTCGAAGGTGATTGTGATTGTGGTTTCGAAGGTGATTGTGATTGTGGTTTCGAAGGTGATTGTGATTGTGGTTTCGAAGGTGATTGTGATTGTGGTTTCGAAGGTGATTGTGATTGTGGTTTCGAAGGTGATTGTGATTGTGGTTTCGAAGGTGATTGTGATTGTGGTTTCGAAGGTGATTGTGATTGTGGTTTCGAAGGTGATTGTGATTGTGGTTTCGAAGTGGTGATTGTGGTTTGAAGTGATGGATTGTGGTTTCGAAGGTGATTGTGATTGTGGTTTCGAAGGTGATTGTGATTGTGGTTTCGAAGGTGATTGTGATTGTGGTTTTCGAAGGTGATTGTGATTGTGGTTTCGAAGGTGATTGTGATTGTGGTTTCGAAGGTGATTGTGATTGTGGTTTCGAAGGTGATTGTGATTGTGGTTTCGAAGGTGATTGTGATTGTGGTTTCGAAGGTGATTGTGATTGTGGTTTCGAAGGTGATTGTGATTGTGGTTTCGAAGGTGATTGTGATTGTGGTTTCGAAGGTGATTGTGATTGTGGTTTCGAAGGTGATTGTGATTGTGGTTTCGAAGGTGATTGTGATTGTGGTTTCGAAGGTGATTGTGATTGTGGTTTCGAAGGTGATTGTGATTGTGGTTTTCGAAGGTGATTGTGATTGTGGTTTCGAAGGTGATTGTGATTGTGGGTTTCGAAGGTGATTGTGATTGTGGTTTCGAAGGTGATTGTGATTGGGTTCGAAGGTGATTGTGATTGTGGTTTCGAAGGTGATTGTGATTGTGGTTTCGAAGGTGATTGTGATTGGTGGTTTCGAAGGTGATTGTGATTGTGGTTTCGAAGGTTTGATTGTGAATTGGGTGGTTTCGAAGGTGATTGTGATTGTGGTTTCGAAGGTGATTGTGATTGTGGTTTCGAAGGTGATTGTGATTGTGGTTTCGAAGGTGATTGTGATTGTGGTTTCGAAGGTGATTGTGATTGTGGTTTCGAAGGTGATTGTGATTGTGGTTTCGAAGGTGATTGTGATTGTGGTTTCGAAGGTGATGTGTTGTGTTTCGAAGGTGATTGTGATTGTGGTTTCGAAGGTGATTGTGATTGTGGTTTCGAAGGTGATTGTGATTGTGGTTTCGAAGGTGATTGTGATTGTGGTTTCGAAGGTGATTGTGATTGTGGTTTCGAAGGTGATTGTGATTGTGGTTTCGAAGGTGATTGTGATTGTGGTTTCGAAGGTGATTGTGATTGTGGTTTCGAAGGTGATTGTGATTGTGGTTTCGAAGGTGATTGTGATTGTGGTTTCGAAGGTGATTGTGATTGTGGTTTCGAAGGTATTGATTGTGGTGATTGTAGGTTTCGAAGGTGATTGTGGATTGTGGTTTCGAAGGTGATTGTGATTGTGGTTTCGAAGGTGATTGTGATTGGTGGTTTCGAAGGTGATTGTGATTGTGGTTTCGAAGGTGATTGTGATTGGTGGTTTCGAAGGTGATTGTGATTGTGGTTTCGAAGGTGATTGTGATTGTGGTTTCGAAGGTGATTGTGATTGTGGTTTCGAAGGTGATTGTGATTGTGGGTTTCGAAGGTGATTGTGATTGTGGTTTCGAAGGTGATTGTGATTGTGGTTTTCGAAGGTGATTGTGATTGTGGTTTCGAAAGGTGATTGTGATTGTGGTTTGAAGTGATTGTGATTGTGGTTTCGAAGGTGATTGTGATTGTGGTTCGAAGGTGATTGTGATTGTGGTTTCGAAGGTGATTGTGATTGGTGGTTTCGAAGGTGATTGGTGATTGTGGTTTCGAAGGTGATTGTGATTGTGGTTTCGAAGGTGATTGTGATTGTGGTTTCGAAGGTGATTGTGATTGGTGGGTTTTCGAAGGTGATTGTGATTGTGGTTTCGAAGGTGATTGTGATTGTGGTTTCGAAGGTGATTGTGATTGTGGTTTCGAAGGTGATTGTGATTGTGGTTTCGAAGGTGATTGTGATTGTGGTTTCGAAGGTGATTGTGATTGTGGTTTCGAAGGTGATTGTGATTGTGGTTTCGAAGGTGATTGTGATTGTGGTTTCGAAGGTGATTGTGATTGTGGTTTCGAAGGTGATTGTGATTGTGGTTTCGAAGGTGATTGTGATTGGTGGTTTCGAAGGTGATTGTGATTGTGGTTTCGAAGGTGATTGTGATTGTGGTTTCGAAGGTGATTGGTGATTGTGGTTTCGAAGGTGATTGTGATTGTGGTTTCGAAGGTGATTGTGATTGTGGTTTCGAAGGTGATTGTGATTGTGGTTTCGAAGGTGATTGTGATTGTGGTTTCGAAGGTGATTGTGATTGTGGTTTCGAAGGTGATTGTGTTGTGGTTGAGGTGATTGTGGTGGGTTTCGAAGGTGATTGTGATTGTGGTTTCGAAGGTGATTGTGGTTGTGGTTTCGAAGGTGATTGTGGATTGTGGTTTCGAAGGTGATTGTGATTGTGGTTTCGAAGGTGATTGTATTTGTTTTCGAAGGTGATTGTGATTGTGGTTTCGAAGGTGATTGTGATTGTGGTTTCGAAGGTGATTGTGGATTGTGGTTTCGAAGGTGATTGTGATTGTGGTTTCGAAGGTGATTGTGATTGTGGTTTCGAAGGTGATTGTGATTGTGGTTTCGAAGGTGATTGTGATTGTGGTTTCGAAGGTGATTGTGATTGTGGTTTCGAAGGTGATTTGTGATTGTGGTTTCGAAGGGTGATTGTGGATTGTGGTTTGGAGGTGATTGTGATTGTGGTTTCGAAGGTGATTGTGATTGTGGTTTCGAAGGTGATTGTGATTGTGGTTTCGAAGGTGATTGTGATTGTGGTTTCGAAGGTGATTGTGATTGTGGTTTCGAAGGTGATTGTGATTGTGGTTTCGAAGGTGATTGTGATTGTGGTTTCGAAGGTGATTGTGATTGTGGTTTCGAAGGTGATTGTGATTGTGGTTTCGAAGGTGATTGTGATTGTGGTTTCGAAAGGTGATTGTGATTGTGGTTTCGAGGGATTGTGATTGTGGTTTCGAAGGTGATTGTGATTGTGGTTTCGAAGGTGATTGTGATTGTGGTTTCGAAGGTGATTGTGATTGTGGTTTCGAAGGTGATTGTGATTGTGGTTTCGAAGGTGATTGTGATTGTGGTTTCGAAGGTGATTGTGATTGTGGTTTCGAAGGTGATTGTGATTGTGGTTTCGAAGGTGATTGTGATTGTGGTTTCGAAGGGTGAATTGTGATTGTGGTTTCGAAGGTGATTGTGGATTGTGGTTTCGAAGGTGATTGTGGGAATTGTGGTTTCGAAGGTGATTGTGGTTGTGGTTTCGAAGGTGATTGTGGATTGTGGTTTCGAAGGTGATTGTGATTGTGGTTTCGAAGGTGATTGTGATTGTGGTTTCGAAGGTGATTGTGTTGTGGTTTCGAAGGTGATTGTGATTGTGGTTTCGAAGGTTGATTGTGATTGTGGTTTCGAAGGTGATTGTGATTGTGGTTTCGAAGGTGATTGTGATTGTGGTTTCGAAGGTGATTGTGATTGTGGTTTCGAAGGTGATTGTGATTGTGGTTTCGAAGGTGATTGTGATTGGTGGTTTTCGAAGGTGATTGTGATTGTGGTTTCGAAGTGATTGTGATTGTGGTTTCGAAGGTGATTGGTTGTGGTTTCGAAGGTGATTGTGTTGTGGTTTCGAAGGTGATTGTGTTGTGGTTTCGAAGGTGATTGGTTGTGGTTTCGAAGGTGATTGTGATTGTGGTTTCGAAGGTGATTGTGATTGTGGTTTCGAAGGTGATTGTGATTGTGGTTTCGAAGGTGATTGTGATTGTGGTTTCGAAGGTGATTGTGATTGTGGTTTCGAAGGTGATTGTGATTGTGGTTTCGAAGGTGATTGTGATTGTGGTTTCGAAGGTGATTGTGATTGTGGTTTCGAAGGTGATTGTGATTGTGGTTTCGAAGGTGATTGTGATTGTGGTTTCGAAGGTGATTGTGATTGTGGTTTCGAAGGTGATTGTGATTGTGGTTTCGAAGGTGATTGTGATTGTGGTTTCGAAGGTGATTGTGATTGTGGTTTCGAAGGTGATTGTGATTGTGGTTTCGAAGGTGATTGTGATTGTGGTTTCGAAGGTGATTGTGATTGTGGTTTCGAAGGTGATTGTGATTGTGGTTTCGAAGGTGATTGTGATTGTGGTTTCGAAGGTGATTGTGATTTGGTTTCGAAGGTGATTGTGATTGTGGTTTCGAAGGTGATTGTGATTGTGGTTTCGAAGGTGATTGTGATTGTGGTTTCGAAGGTGATTGTGATTGTGGTTTCGAAGGTGATTGTGATTGTGGTTTCGAAGGTGATTGTGATTGTGGTTTCGAAGGTGATTGTGATTGTGGTTTCGAAGGTGATTGTGATTGTGGTTTCGAAGGTGATTGTGATTGTGGTTTCGAAGGTGATTGTGATTGTGGTTTCGAAGGTGATTGTGATTGTGGTTTCGAAGGTGATTGTGATTGTGGTTTCGAAGGTGATTGTGATTGTGGTTTCGAAGGTGATTGTGATTGTGGTTTCGAAGGTGATTGTGATTGTGGTTTCGAAGGTGATTGTGATTGTGGTTTCGAAGGTGATTGTGATTGTGGTTTCGAAGGTGATTGTGATTGT